AAAAAAAAAAAAAAAAAGGACCAGAGGATTTGCCACAAAGCAATAAGCTTGCACAGTGGTCCAGATAACAGTTCCTCTCAGGGTCCCTTGTCCTGTCGAGCAAGTTTTCGATCCACTTGAGAGTTATACCTAAGCAGGTGGCTCGGTAGATACAGCCACCCTGCAGAATGGAACATGAGAAGCCCAAATCCACACCCATAAAGGGGCTACTGACATGAGTGCCCACGCTCAGAGAAGTGGGGTGACACGGACGTGGTAACTGCCCGTGCCACGAATCTTGGCCGTCTGTGGTTCACCACCACAGCAGCCTCCGCCCCATATCTAGCCTCCTTCTCCGAAGGTCTGCCCCCTCTCAGCTGGGAAGGAAGAAGCCCGAGTCAATGTTCTCAACCTGCACAAAATGGGGAGAGGAATCAAGAGAGAAAGGAACTGAATCATAAACGGAAAAGTGCGAGGCTTTGGTGCGAATCTCCTTAAAGGAGACCCAGTGGAAACTGACCCACTCGCAGAGTTCAAGCTGAGACAGAGCAGCTGACAAGAGACTTTTAAAAGCTTCCTGCAGAGTTGGGTCAAGAGCAAGGTTCAAGGGGATGACAAAAGGCAAAACCAGCCTGTGCGTCTAAACCACGGGAAACCCTGCAGGGATGCTCGCTCGAAGCCTGAACATCCAGGAGGGACAGGCCACGGTTCTTCCACCTCTCTTGCCCGAGAAACAAAGAGGACAATGCTCGAGAAAAGACATTCAACCAAAGGCGGGCAGCTTTTTCTTTCTTTCATTAAAAAACAACCCTTTATATATTCATTTCACGTCTGTTTTTAAATCACAGGGAGGAAAGGCAAGGAAGATGGTCGGGGTGGGGAGGTGGGAAGGAACATGAGACCAATACAATCGTATCGCGGTGCCGGATCACCCCAGAAGGTTGTTGTGGTCTAGGGACCGATCCCCTCGAGGGGTGATGAGAGAGGACCCAGAGAGGGAGGGAGGGAAGGAGGGAGGGATGGGCGAGGGAGAAGAGAAGACAGAAAGCAGGAGGGAAAGGAGGA